CTGAGATTGATGAGTCTGCAGGCAGTAGGGCTACTATGTATTGAAGCCAGAGCTGAATTTTTATATTTTATTTCCTCCAGGACAATGGATTCTTTATTTTTTAAGAAACTTGAGCTAGACTTGATATATAGTAAAGTAGCAGTCAAGAAACCCCATAAAAGTTATATTTCTTTAGCGAAAACCCCATTACTTGCATTAAAAACCTTGATTAATACAAAAAATGTTGAAAGTACCATACAAGTGGCTTGTAAAATCACATGGTCTTACTTAGGAAAAAACGCTCAGGTATTTTGACAGCAGCATACCAGCCAAAGTCAGAATACAATAGCCCAGCAGGATGGATTCCCCCATCCTTACCATAATGTGAGCTATACTTCAAAGATTATTTCTGTACCGTAAGTTTTCTGTAAATAGCTTTCTACATTTTCTAAGAACTGAATTCCTGTAATATACTATTATTTAAGTTGCAAAATTGTTTCTAGTGAGGCTCATTGACAGAAATAATATTATGATCAGTGCTGTATGGAAATCATAATTCAAAATGAGTATTCATGTTGATTCTTAAGGTATTTCATTGGTTTTATCCACAGATTACTTGGCTAACCATGGGCGTCTCAGTGAAGCAGAAGCCAGGAGGAAGTTTTGGCAAATCCTATCTGCAGTGGAGTACTGTCATAGTTGCAATATAGTCCATCGGGATTTAAAGGCTGAAAATCTCTTGTTAGATAACCACATGAACATCAAGATAGCAGGTAAGTTCTTCCCTTTTTGTATAAAGGACACCTGACTGTGCTCAAGTAGAGGGTTGGCTGTAAAGTGGGCACCTAGATATCTTTATGAGCACTCTGAAACCGCAAAACCCAGGGCACTCATTTTATTTCAGCTTCTGTCAGAAAAGCTCTGGTATGCCCACCCCAGCCCATTAGGGACCAGTAGTGAGCTGCAGAAGGAGGATTGTCAGATCTTAACTTTCCAAACTGAAGTCAAGATTTGCATCATTGAGTGTCCTGTACTTTGAAGTTCCTGAAGCACTCATGAACATATATAAAGGTACTTGCAGCTACATCTAGATCTGTACAGATTTTGAAATATGGGAATGAAAATCTTAATGCATAATAATGAATACCTTGCTATCAGTTCTCGTTTACCCTGTACATGGCTCCAGTGTTGCAAGTGGTACTCAAATTGGTTACATCAATTATATTTATTAGACCATGTATTAGATATCTGTGTAAACTGTTAGAAGGATTTGGCTTTTTTAGCTGGCTTATGGACCAATTAAAGTGGTGACGAAAAGGTTATATATAGGCACATGGTACGTAATACAAACATGATAGAAAAAAAAAATAGAAAAAAATAGATTTAACACATGGGTGTGTTTTCACTCACATCACAGCAATTCATTTTCCTACAGCCTTCTCTTTTGGTTCTGAATTTAAGGTACTGTCCAAAAATATGATGTGCTTCAATGCAGTTTGAATGTAATTCTTTGTCAGAGCTGAAAACATATAATGGTGATGTTGAGAAAAAGACATTTGGCCAATAACTGTACCAGAAAAGCCACCTCTGTGCCTCAGCATACTGGTACTGTATATCTGGCCCTCCCTTTAACTAACATCCACACAAGCAGGGATCTGCTCATAACTGTTCATAACTACTTTCATAACTACTTAGGTGTAAATAAGAAAAAAAAACAAGCATTTCCTATTCTAGTTAAAAGCATAGTCCACCTTTCTGACCATGTTTCATGTTACCACCATACTTGGGGTGGAACATGGTACCATTTTGCACCCCCACTTCCCCTTTATAATGGGGTGCTTCTTGCCACAGGCTGCTATTTGGATTTGAATTCAGCGTGGCACTTTCTGCACAGCCACATCATCCATTTACAGTTTTATTCACAGAGATCTGTAAATGGAAAGACTATAAGTCCCATAAGTCTCATCTGCCATGGCAACAGAGTGACTCGTAGCTCTTACTGGAGCACAAGTGCAGTGACTTCACCCCACTTGAAGTTTGTTGATTTACTTCCTTCAGGCTCATAATGGTAGGTCCATATCTCAAACCTGGGGCTTGGGGAACAATCTGTAGAAGTCTGTGCATTGCACCTGCCATGCACTGATCAGGTTTGCAATGTGGGTGAATATGCCTTTAAAGTGACAGGGTTTCTTTGAAGTCCATCCCCTGACCTACTTTTGCTCACCTTCCCTGTGCTCCCTTACCACCCCGTTCCTTCACAGTTCTAACTGTAAGCTCCATGTCAATTGTGTCAGAGCTTACACAGGGCAGATGATGTCACCATCTGCCTCACATCGCAGTTGGGCACACAGGCCTGAGTACTGTATCATAGGAGAAGATGAAATGTTCCCTCCCTTCCCCACTGTATACAGGTCCTTCATGGCAACTCCAGTGGAGCAATGCCATGGGTGCCTGTTAAAGGTATAATAAAAGTGGGGTGGAGGATGGTCTTTTATGTAATTCTGTCATTAGAGAAGTACAGAGACTGCCATCACTGGCCTCATTCTCTAAATGCTAGTTACCTGGCTTCATCTGACTTTCTGTTTTTTGAGTCAAAGGGCCAGATCAAGCATGCTGTAAATGAGTGTCAGAATTCCTTATCTCTGTATTCGTTCTAGATGAGCGACTCATTAAAGTCATCAGCATGACAACCAGAGAACTTGCATTCTCAAAAGGAGAGTTCAGCAATGGCAGCCTCCACTATTATGCTATGCTAGATCCCCTTTAAGGAGAGAATATACAGAACATTTCAGTATTAAACTCTTGGTTACCTCTTCTCTTCCATTACTTGGAACAAAGCTAAAATGTTCAGTAACTTTAAATTTAGAAAATCCTGTTTATTAGATCGTTCTGGAGGTGTTAATCGTTTAAACACACTTAGAAAGATCAGATATAGCTGTGCACAAATACCTGCAACTCTAAACAGCAGCCAGGTGTGATCCTTGCAGATAGTTCTGTCACTGCAATAGATTCCTCAAATGCATGTGATATTAACCTGCCCGTATCCTCCCATCGAATGATGGTGTGCCAGGGCTTTAGTGGCTTTCTGTTGACTTGCAAATGCTGATTCACTGGAAAAGCATGCAGACCTCTGACATCAATGCAGATTCTCACGTGGGGGTGTGAACTTAGTAACTGACTTTGTGATGAGCATATGAATGATGAAAGTTCACTTCGCCTCCTCTGTGCTTTATGCTGAGGTACATTTTACTTTATTTCAGCATTCATAATTATTTTAACTGCATGTCACTTCCTATTTGGATCAACCTGCATCAGCCACTTCCCAGACGTTAAGCAAAATCACTTGACCAACATTACAAGCTACAGACAGAAAGTCCTCTGAACGGATAGGCCAAATGAACCTTTGGCCTCATTATGAAGTGTTTGAAAGATAGAGTCAGAGCAAACAATCCAGCCCTCAGTTTCATTCTCCCATAGTGCAGACATAACATGGAATATCAGGCTGTCAAGGGATAGGAACTTTTATTGAGAACATCCACGGGATGCAGTAATAGTTAAACATTTGTGCATTTAAAATGTGTATTTTTTAATGCAACATGACAGATGTCATAACTTGTATATAAATTGCCATTAGATTCACTCTGGTTTAGCAAGAGCTTTGAACATGTACTAAAGAGAAACTCTAATCAGCAAATAAGATCATTCATTGATCTTTTAATGCAATCCAGGAGACATTGTCAACAAGCTTTATATGATGTTTACATAGCCCCTCGCTACTAGATCAAGCAGGACTCTTTTTGAGTCTGCAGGCTCTATTCAAGCCATGTAGCTCCCCCTTCTTTAGATGTACATGTCTCTGCAAGGATATAATATGTGTGTGAATATCTTTTTCTGAACTATCAAGGGTGTGACTAAGCAGACTGGAAAAACGATTGGACGGTCACAATTGAGATTCCCTGGCCTGCAAAGTAACAAGCTGGGAGTTTGGGTTTCTGAGAACACCGTATCACTGGCAACCAGGAAATGTGGTGGAGCCTGGTGTGCCAAACAGTGGCGGCAAGACAAAAACATTACCGGGTAGACGGTGTCCCTAATATGTATGTTCTGGTGTCAACCTTTAATGGGCCGGAATAAGGAAACAAAACAATATGTATTTATACCGTGAGATCTCCCTTCGAATCATTAAGGACATTTCCATTTGCAAATATCTTCTTTTTAAGACTATCTTGACCACTTTTATACAAAAAGAATGTTCACAAATGCACATAGGTTGCCCACATAGAGTTTTTCCAACATAACATCCATGCATTACTTGTCAGATAAACACAGATTCAGCCTCCTGGCTTCCACTTTCAGCGTCTGTCTGTTTTGACCTGTGTCTTCAGGCTCTTGTCTGTCTCTACTCCAGACAGTTCTCTACCACCATGCTAACCTGAACACACAGTACACAGCTCTCCGCTCCCTGTTGCTCTGGCCCCCACTTTGACTTTTGGCTAGAGACCTCCTGTGTCCCCCAGCTAGAACCCTAAACACTAGCCAGCAGCCTTACCATAAGGGATGTGCACACCTGCACAATTAATAGGTGCTGGTCAACACCAAAACTTGGAAGGGTTGGAGGCTTCATCCTACCCAACTCTCTGTAAAGCCTCCAGGTTCCAGGACCCTGACTAGAGTTTGTCAATGTTGGAGAAAACTGAAAAGCCAGTTTCCTCCCTCTGCAATATGCATCCTGGATCCTTACAACCTGTATGGGTGAGAACACTGGGTGCCCTTCAGACCTTATCACACAGTGACAAGGCACAGCCCTGTCATAATACATAATTAGAGACATCACTGCTCTTGGAACACTTCTGTTTGTGCACCTAAGCTATTGCAAAGCTCCCAGTAACCTCTTTACTCCGTAAAGGTCACGTCTTAATATCCAAAAGGCTGTTGTCAGCACTTTCCAGTCAATACACAGATACTTTCCCATCCTGCTTTGTAGGTAGCCAGTTAAGGTATGTCATGTATTTGAGTGGTGAGTGATGAGTGTAGTTTGGTCTTTTATTTATACTAGCATTATATAAGATCACAATCATTCTTAATCCTTTTGTGTATTTCTGCTGATCCCTGCTCTAAATAAATAATTTTTCATGACTAAATCTACTTTGTAAGGATAGGATTGTGTGTTACCACGGTCTATGTATACAGGATTTATCAGTGTGAAAGGAGATATCACCCAACCCTTAGCAAATCTTTGCCGTTTCCACCCTGACAAGCTGTACTGATATGGGCTTCACTGTGTTCAGTCATCAAAAATCACATATATACTAGCCATACACGCTTAGATTTCTCTGGGGCCTTTCGAGAGCAACCAGTCAATTCCCCCATCCAGGCAAAACAGCGTAGATGGAGGAATCTCCACTGCTGGCTATTGTATTTAGACAGCTGGCATCCACGGCTGTCTGAATAACCGAACCGATACCTCTGATTGGAAGCAATCGCTGTTTGAACAACAACATTTCAACTGGCTCCTTCAGTTTTTCAATGAAAGTTGGCGAGCCCAAGTGACACCAACAGGACCAACCCACTGCTCCTATTTTGGCCAATTCAGCCGGAGCTGGCCAAAATGCAAGCCTCGTATGTAGAATGTAATTTGCTAAGTAAAGCCAAACTAAAGCTGGCCAGTTGGCTTCACTAGGCAAATTGCACTCCACTATGTTAAGTGGAACAGAAAGGGCACTGTTGTACCACATCGCACTGCTGTGTGCTGCAACACAGTGGTGTAAACCGG